CTTCTGCAATATGAATTTGAGAAATTAAAAAAAAAACTACCTCAAGGAATGAAATTACCACTTTAAATCAAGAAGACAATTTTTTTTTTTTTTTTTTTTTTTTTTTTTTTTTTTTTGAGACGGAGTCTCGCGCTGTGTCACCCAGGCTGGAGTGCAGTGGCGCGATCTCGGCTCACTGCAAGCTCCGCCTCCCAGGTTCACGCCATTCTCCTGCCTCAGCCTCCGAGTAGCTGGGACTACAGGCGCCCGCCACCACGCCCGGCTAGTTTTTTGTATTTTTAGTAGAGACGGGGTTTCACCATGTTAGCCAGGATGGTCTCGATCTCCTGACCTCGTGATCCACCCGCCTCGGCCTCCCAAAGTGCTGGGATTACAGGCTTGAGCCACCGCACCCGGCCTAAGAAGACAATATTTTTAACCCGAAACCAGGAAAATTAAATAGATCTCAAGGAGAAGATACCTGTTTAAAAACAGATTATAGATTTAAAAATCAAAACCCCTTACAATTTTATTAAAATCAGATCAATATTTCAAGAAATCTTGTTGTTTTAAATATAAGGAACCAGACTCTAGTTCTGTATCAGTGCCCATCCCCCCGGCCCCCTACCCAACAATGTTTAATTTTTAGAAAAACACATAATTTATTTTTAATTCCAGCCAAGTCAATAACACATAAAATTTCCTTTATTAGCTCATCCTTTATAAGTCCTCTTCAACTTTAGACCTTTTATTTTCCTAACCCCTACCTCTTAGTCCTATAATTTTTCTTTTTTTTTTAAATGTGGGATAACCAATCATTTTATCTTATTTGACTATGATCAGACATTTATTTTGTATATATGATTTAATTTAACATAAATTTTAAGACTTTAAATTACATGAGTTCATTTATAAACATTTATTTCATTTACAGTTAATTTATTTTTTAACAACTATATCTAGATTTCTTACAAAAATTGAGATATTAGATGGAGCTGGTCATTATTTCAAGTTTTTTTTTTATTAAATAATTATATAGCCTGTTAACATGAGGTGTTTACCCATATAAGAACCATAAAGTTAAATACATGGGTATCTGTAGATAACTCAGAAGATATAACTTTTCTTTTTTTCCTTAGAGGCAAAGGCTCACTCTGTTGCGCAGGCTAGAGTGCAGTGGTATGATCATAGCTCACTCTAGCCTTGAACACCTGGGCTCAAGGGATCCTCCCTCCTCAGCCTTCAAAGTAGCTGAGATCATAGGCACATGCCTGGCTAATTTTTTAATTTTTTTATGGAGATAGGGTCTTGCTATGTTGCCCAGGATAGTCTCAAACTCCTGGGCTCAAGTGATCCTCCCACCTTGGCCTCTCAAAGTGTTGACATTACAGGTATAATATTAAATTAATCTTACTTATCAAAGAATTGCATAAACAAATATCACTTTGCTTTAGGCCTGGTTTATAGCTTCATGACCTTAATAGCATAGGCAAATATAAAACTGACCAGCGCTTGTGCTCAGAAGCTGATACACCAAAACACAGTATTTAACATGCGAAACTAAAGAAGCCTCAAGGTCTCTCTGACCTTTCCTCTACCCCCACCATCCTTCCCAAAGAAGCTGAAGTTCCTTTATCTGCCTAAGAACCAGACCCACTAAGGAGAACAATTGTTGGTTCTCTACCTCCTATTATCTCATCTGTTACAGAAAAGAAGACCAAGATGTGACCACACCCAAGCAGACCTTTACAGAAGTACAATGACTGCCTTCAAGGATGATTTAAATTCCAAAAAAACCATTTGCAAGTTAATATCTGTTCCTCAATCCAACCATTCTCTCACCAATCATTCACTGCCCCTCAATAAATTCATCTTCTCCTCCCATAATGTTTTACCAGAATCCAAGTCCCCCATCCTTTCTGTAATTTCAAGCCTGGTGCATAAGCCTCTATAACTCATTGAGAAGTTGGGTCTTTATTCTGAAAGCTCCTGTGTACACACATTGAATAAATTTGTATGTCTTTTCTCTTACTAATCAATCTGACCTATGTCAGTGATTTTTCAGCAAATGTTTGGGGGGCGAAGAGCCATGGCCCCCACACCAGTAAACACAGGCAAAAATATATATTGACGATTAGAAGGACGTTTTTAATTTTATTTTTATCAACAATTTTAAAACCAATTACAATTTTAAAACCAAGTAAAAAAGATTTACTTAAGTCACATGAACTAAAAAAATTAGGTTAATTACTATATATTTTGTATGAGCGCTCATCTATTTAAACCAATCAGATTAACATTTCTTAAGGGATTTTGGGCCTACTACACTGAATTTTATTATGTAGACATAACATACAGCATAATACATGTACATATGTGTAAATACATTTAAACAAATAGATATACACATAAAGGTCTTCTAGCTTTTATTTTAGAATTTCAGTTGTGAGATAGTAAAACATATCAGCTTGCTGGTTTATAGAAAACAGTTGGATCCAAATTATTTTTCTGGAAAAATGAGATAAAAGCTATGAATCAAATTTTGGTAAAACAGTTTGAGTTAATTATCAATGTAGGGACCAAGGGGAAACTTCAGTGAAGGCTCACTCAAAAACCAACCTGCAAAAGGTAGATTAATTGGAAAAAAATCATATAAATGTATTTAATATGTATACATGGGAGCCTGCAGAATGATGACCCAAACATATAGAGGAAATTGTCTATTTTTAACTTAGGATTAACAAAATATAGACAGCCATGTAGAAATATGATTGGACAAAAAGGGTATGAGCTAATGCTAACAAAATGAATGGGGAAACCCAATGAAAAAAGCCAAACTCTGTAAAATATTTAGAGGTTTATTCTGAGCCAAATATAAGTGACCTGTGACACTATATGTGGTGTCACTACCTGTGACACTATATATAGGACATCTATGGATATCCTATATAATGGCCTGTGACACAGCATCAGGAGGTCCTGAGAACATGTGCCCAAGGTGTTTGGATTATAGTTTGCTTTTATATATTTTAGGAAGACAGAAGATACAGGCAAAGACATCAATCAATACATGTAAGGTATACATTGGTTTGACCTGGAAAGCCAGGACATTTCGGAGGAGGAAGGGTTTGGCCAGTGATGGCAGGAGGGAGGTTGCGGAAGCCAGGGTTTTTGTTACATACGTGAAGCCTGTAATATGCTTCAGAAAGAATAGATGGTATATGTATCTCAAAAGGTAAATGACCTTAAAAGGTGTCAGACTCTTAGTTAAATCCCTCTCGCATCAGGAAAAGACCTGGAAAGGGAAGGAGATTCTCCACAGAATGCAAATTTCCCTCACAAAAGATAGCTTTGCACAGGACCATTCCAAAATATGCCAGAAATATATTTTGGGGTAAAATACTTTGATCTCCTTTAGGGCTGCTACGTGTCATGTGATGCTATACCAGAATCAAGTTGGAATTTGTTTTGAGACAAGCTCTCACTTTGTTGCTCAGACTGGAGTACAGTGGCTGTGATCACGGCTCACTGCAGCTTTGATCTCCTGGGCTCAAGTGATCTTCCCACATCAGCCTCCCAAATAGCTGGGACGACAAGCGGCAGCCACCACACTGGGCTAAATTTTTTAAAAGTAGAGACAAGTTCTCCCCATGTTGCCCAGGCTGGTCTCTAACTCCTGGCCTCAACCTCCTTATTCTCTAGGATTACAGGCGCCAGGCTAGACCTCACAGGTCTTTAAACTTCTATGCACCAGGTACCTGGTAGGGGGAGGGATTATAGTGGCAGAAGAGCAGTACCAGCGGCCCCACACCACACACCCTGGCCTCAGCTGGCTGGGGCACACAAAACCAGGTGCCACCGCCAAGGACTAGGCCCACAGGGTGCTGCTGTCAAAACCTGCTGCCAACAACTTCCATACACTCCCCTGAACGCTCGGTAGGCGGTGGTGCGCAGCTTTCAATACATCCGCCGCCAGGCGCTCACAGGCAAGGGAGAAAAAGCCAGACCGGCTCGGAGACGTGGCGGGCAGACGCAGGCGCATTTGGAAAAGAGACTGGTGGTGGGAGGTGCGGAGCGGTATTCCTAGCCGCTGGCGGACCCGATGGGGCGTCCTGCGAGGGTTCGGCGAGGGTTCTGCCAGGATAGTAGCAGTGCGCCCAAGGAGTGAGAGGCACCCGGGGCTACTGGAGCCAGACCCTCAACCCGCCCTAGTGGTAGGCGAGGAATAACGAAAGCCACGTATTCCCATTTCTCTAGTGGCTAATGACATTAAAGGTTTTCATATGGTTATTTGCTATCTGCATATCTTCAGTGAAATGTCTGTTCATGTCTTCTATTTTCTAATTGAATTTTTAAAAATAATTGACTTTTGAGTTATGTACATATTCTAGATACTGGTTGTATGCCAGATACGTGGCTTGTAAACATTTTCTCCTAGGTAAACCTTTTCAGTATCGTTACAGGGTCTTTCACAAAGCAAAATGTATGGGGTCTAATTCATCAAAATTTCTTTTTACTAGTCATGCCACTAATGTCAATGTAAGAACCTTTTGCCTAGCCTTAGGCAATAAAGGGTTTGTTGTTTTTAAAAACACTTTTGTAATTTTATGCGTTACAGTTATGTCTAGCCACTTTTTATTTAAGGGTTTTTTGTTTGTTTGTTTGTTTGTTTGTTTTGGCAGGGGGATCTATGGATGTCCTATCTTTCCAGTATTATTTGTGGAAAAGATTATCTTTCCTGCATTAAACTGCTTTTGGACCTTCGTCAAAAATCAGTTGGACCGGTTTTTGTTGGCAAAGTTTTGCCTGAAGCTTATTCCAACAGGTGAGAAAAAGTCCACAGTTTTACAGTTCCTCCGCAACCTTAACCCCACCCTGAACTTCTGGACTAGCCACTCGAGTGTTGCAGATGCCAAGCTGACCTCGGGCCGCTCTGCGTTGGGCCAGCCCCTCCCGGCTGGTTTCTCACCACGCATCGCGCAAGCGGAATTTATGCCTATTACCGACACTCCCTGCGCCCCCGCACCCCGCTCCTGTGCGCAAGTCGGAATCAAACCTCAGAGGAGTGAGCGTTCCGGGCGTCCAGTTGGTTGTCGCGGCAGTCTCTGCGAGCAGCGCATTTGTCTTCTAGGCTGCGTGGTTCGTACCTCCGAGAAAGGTAAGTCTTTCTTTCGCTTTTTTAGGGGTTCTTGAAAACAACATGTGCCAGACAAACCAGCAGATGCTGTCCCCAGTGGAAGTTTATGGGCGAGTTGTCCCTACAGCTGGTACCACGTCTTTCTTGGCGCGATTATGCAAGAGCCACCCGCAGCCACTCGCAGCCCCTGCGGGCTCGTGGCAGGTCCTGCAACTGCACTTTGGATAGTCCCGTTGGGAAGCTAGCACTTTTTAATATAGAAGAACGAGGCTTGGTTAAGTGTGCGAGCTTAAAGGTTGACATAGTGTCCACTATTACAGCTGCTTAGGTAGCTAGTATTCAGGAAATAATAGTGGAGTCGTGTAGTGTGAAAGTAAGATTGAGATGAACGAGGAGGGTAGGTGCTACTACAGCCTCCAGAGAGAAACCTGACCCTGCAGATGCGTGGTGATGTCCATGAGCCAGGCTGGTACCGCAGCAGCAGCGGCGGGACCTTGAGCTCCGCAGGGCCGCTGGGTTTGGACGCCCTCCGGTTCCTGGAAGCTTTCACCTCCGTCTCAGCCTGAGGCCAGGTGGTCTGGGAAGCTGGAAGGAGTGCTGGGGGGAGGGGGGTCCACTGCCAAAGAATGAGAGTTCTCTTCACATCTGGAAACTTCAGTTATCACATGTGTCCTTTACCAATTTTCTTTTTCTTTTATTTTCTTTCTGATAGAGACGGGGGTCTCCCTTTAGCCAGGTTGGTCTTGAACTCCTTTGCTCAAGCGATCCTCCCACCTTGACTTCCTAAAGTGCTGGAATTACAGGCATGAGCCATCGCGCCTGGCTGCTTTACCAATTTTCTGTGAATGAATTTGTACATACATCGCCTATAGCAGGAAGTAATGTAAAACAGAATAATTAGTAATGCACATTTACTAATGTGGGATGTTGGTGGCCAAGAGATACTTGGTCTTTACTGGAACTCTTGATACTAACGTGGAGTTTATAATAGTTGTGGGCAGTGCAGACAGGGCTAGGATTTCTGTGACTAGAGAACTCTAGTGCGTGAGGACCTAAGGAAAGCTGGATTGTTGATTTTTGCCAATAAATAAGATGTGAAAGATTGCATCACTGTAGCAGAAATCTAGTTTTTTAAGCTAAATCTTATTAAAGGTCATCATTGCTAAAGGAATTGTGCCCAGGATTTGGATAGCTGATATCATTACTTAATATTAGATGATATCAACTAACCACATCTTATAGACTGGAACAAAGTGCTAGATTTTACCTGAAAGCTGCAAAAATGAATGATTTAGACATATGTATGTATTTATTTTGTATCAGTTTCAAATATTTATTGTATTAACATCCCTGGTCCCCTTTAATCAAGAATATAAAATCATTTACTTAAATTTTGCCACTTAAGTTTAGAATACTCTTAGAATCACACTATCTTAAAGAAGCCAGACTAGAATTAGAAGCAAGTAAGTCTGAAGATATAACAACCAGCAACAACATTTTTTTTTCCAAACGAAAACTCTAATATGGGGTGGGCATGTTGTCTCACACCTGTAATCCCAACACTTTGGCAGGCCGATGCAGGAGGATCACTTGAACACAGGAGTTCAAGACCAGCCTAGACAACACAGTGAAACCCCGTCCCTACAAAAAATAAGAAAATTAGCTGGGCATGGTGTCACATGCCTGTAGTCCCAGCTACTCGGGAGACTGAGGTGAGAGGATTGATTGATCCCAGGAGGTTGAGGCTGCCGTGAGCCATGATCGCATGACTGCACTCCAGCCTGAGGGATAGAGCAAGACCCTGACTCAAAAAAAAAAAAAAAAAAAAAAAAATCACCACCAAAACTCTAATACGAACATATTACTCTCATGGCCTTGCACATTCTAAAAGGGTCCTTTTCCCCAGTACTGGGACAGTATGTGTTCAACTACGCAGCCAGCAAGAAAGGCTAGTTTATATAGGAAGTGTGCTATATACAAAAAGCGTCTCTTCTCTTTCTGGTATTGTACATGACACAATCACAGCTGTACCTGAAGAGAAGTGCATTTTCAGGACCATCATCACATAGAAACACGTATAAATTTCTATACTTAGTGCCAGAGGAATGACATTGCCTTGTACTTTTCCTACCTGTGTCCAGAGGCCAGCTATGCGGTCTGTCTGCATGGTGCCTAGAACTTTTTCCATCTGACCTAGGATGCTTCTGAAGCAGTCCCCCTGGGCAGCTGTCTGGTATTGAGGATATACCTCTGAGAAAAGTTTCTTACAAACCTATTCTACTGTGTTTTTTCCGGAACTCAAAAAGTTCATTGACTGTTCAAATCCTGAAATTTCCTCTACTTCCATAAGGCTGAATTAAAACTACTCTGTTAAAGGTAGTAGCCATGGCAAAAGAAAAACCACTGTTCTGTAGAAAAACTCATTCAATATTTAGAATGTGTTCTAAGCAGAGATGAGATACTGAAAAGAAAGGTACATATATATATATATATATTTTAACTCCACTGTCATTGTGACTAAGGATTCATGAACTAAGACCCCTCCCTCAGCTCTTGGTGGCACATGGTGACAGCATGCTCAGAGCAAAGGTGCTCCCCATGCCTCTTCTGGGGCTGTGCTGACTGCAGCTGCCTCCCCTCTCTACATCCCACACCACTGATGCCAAACACCCCTCCTTTCCCCTGTACTGATGACTCTGTAGCTTTAACCAGGGTGGTGGTGTCACTCTAAATGTCACGTTGGCATTCAGCCCCGGAGAGTGGGGAAAATTCCCCCACCTGCTTCTCTTTGACTGTTCAGTCCTCTTCAATTAAAATCTTCATTTTACAAGAGAGGAAATGAGAGTAAGTGTTTCTTGTAGGGGTGTAGTGAGAATTTAATAAAACAGTTAAAGGAAAGAAAACAAAAGGTAGTATTGTTGCACTTTCTAGATGGTAAAAAGCAAACCACCAGGTCTGCTGAGTATATATCACCTGCCGGTCCCTCAGTCTAGCAGGCTGAACTTTGTGCCTGGGAATTTTCTTCTCGCCGTGTGCACCCCTTTGCGTCACGGGGTGGACTCTCTCCAGAGTCCTAGTGGAGCAGCTGGCCAGGCTGACGTCATCTGACAACATTGTAGGTTACCACTACCATCTCTCACCGTCTCACTTTCTTCCTAGGGAGTCAGTCTCCTGCTGCCAGCTAAGTGTGGGAGAACTTGTGCACGTATCTCCCCTCCGAATCCCAACGATGGGTAACGTCAGTTTTCGCCCCAAGGAACAGCAGCTGCTGCAGCGGTTGCGGCTTCTGCCTGCCCTGCTTGTCCTCCGCGCCTTCAAGTCCCACAGGAGGATCAGAGATTACCGCGTCGTGGTAGTCGGCACCGCTGGTGTGGGGAAAAGCACGCTGCTGCACAAGTGGGCGAGCGGCAACTTCCGTCATGAGTACCTGCCGACCATTGAAAATACCTACTGCCAGTTGCTGGGCTGCAGCCACGGTGTGCTTTCCCTGCACATCACCGACAGCAAGAGTGGCGACAGCAACCGCGCTCTGCAGCGCCACGTTATAGCCCGGGGCCACGCCTTCGTCCTGGTCTACTCAGTCACCAAGAAGGAAACCCTGGAAGAGCTGAAGGCCTTCTATGAGCTGATCCGCAAGATCAAAGGTAACAACCTGCATAAGTTCCCCATCGTGCTGGTAGGCAATAAAAGTGATGACATCCACCGGGAGGTGACCCTGCATGATGGTGCCACCTGTGCGATGGAGTGGAATTGCGCCTTCATGGAGATCTCGGCCAAGACAGATATGAATGTGCATGAGCTGTTCCACATGCTGCTGAATTACAAGCAGCAGCCCACCGACCTCCAGGAGCCCGAGAAGGAATCCCAGATGCCCAACACCACTGAGAAGCTGCTTGACAAGTGCATAATCATGTGAGCCCTGGGCCTTAAGAGCCAGCTCTTCCTATCCTGTAGTGTGTAGAAAACGTGGACTCATTTCACCGTGTTACATGTACATGGTTGATTTTGTGCTGTTTGGACTGTAACATCCATATTGTCAATAAATATACCTTGTAGGTGGATAACTTCTTTTTCCCAGGCCAGAGAATTCAAATTGTTAAAAGATCGGCATTTGAAGAGGAGAACAAAAGTAGCATGATGTATTTAAAGTAAGGCCTTTAGTAATAAATGTAATAAGAGAAAATGTTTTGAAAAGAACAAAACATCAAAATGAATAGAAAGAAAAATTGGAAGGTGTCCTTTGGTAACCCTATTATTGTGTATTACCTTTAAACATTTCACATCGTGTAAGTGTTTAATCATATCTTTTAATTGTGTATTTAATTAAGAAAAGTGTTTTCACAACAAAAGCTTTTGACAAATTGCTGCGTGACATATACTATATTAAAAAATGAATATGCTATAGCTGATCATTAGGGGTTTGGGAGCAGAGAAAATTGTGAAAGTGGAACTCTCTCACTAAAGATGTTAGTAGTTTCCTATGTCCTTTAAAAATGTTTGAGTATTCTGCATAGCAGTTTAAAAAAGTGTAACCGCTTCTTGACTTAATAAAGCTTTTCCTGCATGCAATCAGCTGTAAGAATTTGTCTTTCTAGAAAACAAAACATTGCCCATTGTATTAAAATTTAAACCATATCTGTTAAAGGTTTCCAATAAGAACTTCACACATGGGTGTCCCTGCCATGTTGAAATTATCCAATATGGGAGGGAGGTGTTTTAGGGAGGTCTCTGCAATGCAGAGCTGTTTTGTGTCTTTCCTGGACTGACATCCAGAAGAACTCCAGGCATCTTTGAGGAAGATGGTCACAGTGTTGCTGTCTCAAGAGGAAGCAGGTGAAAAGCAAGCCTATGCCTTCCGTCTCTTCCTATATTCTGAAATACTGAATATAGGCAATAGGGAGCAGAATGAAAGATAAGGGGGGGAATGATATTTGAGAGACTCCCCTATAAGGGAGTTTTTAGAGATTAATTTTATATTTGAACATAATTTTTTGAGTGAGGGAATAAAGTATACATATCCTTGCTTTTGAGAGTTTTTTTTTTTTTTTCTTTTTTTAACTTGGGAGTGGTTCAGGGGAGTCTCTTAATCTAGTGATTTTTTTCCCCACAAAGTATTATTGAACAAATATGTATTGAACAATGTATGTGCTTCTAGAGGAGAAGCACATTGTTGAGAAGGAATTGTAAACACAATTTCATGGTACTCTAGATAGTTTCAAGCTTAGAAAATCTATTCAGTGGCTCCTTTTTAAATAATTAATTTAAAATTTCCCTATTCATTTTCATAGCAATTATTCTTACCACTTGGAAAATACCCAAATGGTTCTACCATATAGTTTTTTATGAATTCTTTTCCTAAAAACCAGTTCTTTGCTGAAGTCCTAATGGAGTAAATCTGGTTCTAAAAGAAAATACTCTACCTTGGTTATTCTCCAGGATAATTCTCCTTCAAAATGTATTGCATTTATTGTTGCTCCTCATAGGTGAGCAAAGGGATTATTAAAATCCAAGTGGCAAATACTAACCTTGAGAAAGGGAAGAACATGTTTTCAATGTTACAAGTAATAGTTAAGAAAAGAATTTTTGTTCCTTGGGTAACATCTTTATATAAGTAGGTAGTTACCTTACTGTAGAGAATGATTTTATTTTCCATTAAAACTTGTGCTAAATAGCAGGATTTTACCCCTCTACTTCTATCTTTGCCCAAATAGGAAAAATATAATCAGGATGATTACATTTTTAAAGACAATCTAATTACAACATTTTTCAGTCCCAATAACCAACTAAATACATCAAAGGTCTCTTATGTTTCAGTTCAAATCAAATAACATGCATTCACTTTACAGTTCTCTGACTTCTAAATACCTTTGCTCTTGCTACTTCTGAGCCCTAAACACCTATCAACAGGTTGGATTCCAGCCAGGGAATCAGAATATTTTTGGATCATCCAATATGCAGCTCACCACCTAGTTATACTATAATTTATTTCTTCCCAGGATGCTTAAGAAACAGTTTCATTTTCATGACCAGCAAGGGCTTCAGGAAGCATCCTACCACTGGGTCCCTGGAAATGAAACATGAATCTGCTCATGGCTGGGGTGGTCTCCATGTTAAATTCAGTCACTGTCACTCCCTTGGCGGACATCTGGTGAGCAAACACAGCTGCAGGGTACACCACAGGGGGAGCATATGCCACTAGACATAGTCACAAGGGTGAACTGTCTGTCAACCTCCTCCAGAAAGGCAGGATCCAAGTTTTCGCCAAACCACAGGGCTTAAGGTTGCGGCAAGCCCCTGCTCTCTGTCTCTTCACACCCAGGAAATTTCTCAACTGGGATTCTGGCATCTTGAGTACCAGGTCCTGGAGCACCTTCTCCTGATAAAGGTGGACCAACTGACTCTCATAATTCTCTGACACGACTCCACAAGAGGTACATGGAGTTTAACATAAGCTAGGGTGGATTTCCAGAAGGTTCTTGGCGCCAGCCTTGGGTGCCGCTCATGGTTGTTCTGTCATGATCATGCCCTGGCGGCCCTGTCCGCCCAGCAGGGCATCACATTCGGTGGTGGTGAAGTGCAGGGCTGGGCTCCTGCTCTGCCTGACCTCCCACCCGCAGTGGGGAGCTTCCGCACCCGGAAAAGCATGGGCAGAGGCCGGAGGGGCCACCAGGGCCTGAGCTGACATTTTCCCCAATGACCTCCAGCTTGTCTGAAGTGGAATCCCACTTACCTCACTAACACTAGCCCCTGAAATGACCACCATGTGCTTCTCCTGTCTGGCATATCTTGGTTTCTGTGGTGGATGGAAGCTTCAGGCCACAAAACAGCTGGGAAATTAATGGGCTCGGGACAATGTGGAGAGATTAGCAGGTTTTCTTGTAGTTCTGATTCATTCATTCATTCATTCATTCATTCATTCATTCATCCATTCATTCATTCAGAGACAGGGTCTCACCTTGTTGCTCAGGCTGAAGTGCAGTGGCACAGTCTTGGCTCACTGCAGCCTCCACCTCCCAGGCTCAAGCAATCCTGCCACCTCAGCCTCCCAAGTAGCTGGGATTACAGCCACCATGCCTGGCTACCTTTTGTATTTTTTGTAGAGATGGGGTTTCTCCATGTTGCCCAGGCTGGTCTGAAACTCCTGGGCTCAAGCAATCTGCCTGCCTCAGCCTCCCAAAGTGCTGGGATTCCCGCATGAGCCACCCTGCCCAGCAGTGGTTCTGATTCTTTCGTGGGCAGCAGGAGGTGGGGGTGGGGTGGAGCAGCTCAAAGTCCTGCCCCCAAATAAAAATATTTTAAGATAGCAAATATTTATAATCTACATGCCAATGTTTTTGAACTATAAAATGTATATAATCTTTCTACATTGACATGCTCTTACTTTAATCCTCACAACTATCCAATAAAAAAGATAATGTTATGCCTATGTTACAGATGGGGGGACACTGATAAATGTCACAAAACTGGTAAGTAGCAAAGCCAGGATTTGAACCCAACTGTTCTGCTCCAGGTCAGTGCTCTTGACCACTGTAGTACACTTGTTTTCTTTTTTTGAGACGGAGTCTGGCTCTGTTGCCCAGGCTGGAGTGCAGTGGCACAATCTCGGCTCACTGCAAGCTCTGCCTCCCGGGTTCACACCATTCTCCTGCCTTAACTTCCCAAGTAGCTGGGACTGCAGGTGCCCACCACCACCCCCAGCTAATTTTTTGTATTTTTAGTAGAGACAGGGTTTCACCGTGTCAGCCAGGATGGTCTCCATCTCCTGACCTCGTGATCTGCGCGCCTCGGCCTCCCAAAGTGCTGGGATTACAGGTGTGAGCCACCGTGCCCGGCCTGTGGTACACTTCTTTTCCAAGATGACTAGTCAAAGGGCGGAGGAACTCACCTTTCTGTTTTCTATTCATATTATGCCAAGGTGGAAAATGAACCTTCCTCAGAGTTTCTCCCAAATCCCAGATGGGAGGCAAAGAAGCAAGTCAACAATTTAACAAGCATAGGGTGTTTTAGAAACAGGGAAGATAAGCACCTTTAATGAGGAGTGGGAAATATTTTCCCTGAAGAGATTACATGACTGGAATCTTGTAGGTCTAGTAGGATTGGTTTAGGTAGGGTGGGTGAAGGTGAGGGAAGGAGAGGAAGACCTTTCACATTTCAGGCAGACAGGACAGTGAACAAAAGCACAGAGAAAATGTGGGGTCTGAGAGATCACAGCCTGATTCTGGAAATGGACGGAGGAAATTGTGGAAGATGAGCTAGAGAAATTAGAGTTTAGAATTCATTCTTTAGAGGTAATGAGGAATTAGGAAGGGATTTAGGCAAACTTGATCATACTTGCATTTTGAAAAGATCACTCTAGAGCCTCTGTGGGAATGGAGAAAGACAGGTAGACCAATTAGAAAACTATTAGAATCATCCAGGAATGAGATTTTGAACAAATGCTCTAGCCATTGCCAGAGGGAACAATGACAAGAGGATGGACTTGAGAATTACTTAGTAGGGAGAATGGCCAAAGCTTGGTGATGTGTTGGAGTTTAGAATAAAGGGAGAAACAAGGTGACTGTCATGTTTCTGAGTGGGATTCCTGGGTGGGTCATGGGGTCATTGACCAAGTCTAGAAATGCACAAAGGGGTCAATTTGGGTGAAAATCTATTTGCACATGCACATGTGAACAATAAATTACATTCTAGATAACACAGTTGCAAGATGTTTATGAGACAACGAGGTGAAGGTTTCCAGTGGAAAATGGACTGGGATTAGAGACTAGAGATCATGATTTGTGAGTTTTCAACATATGGCTGATGGTAAGGCTATGGAGGGAAAGAAGAGGAGGCAAGATGAAAGTGGTTAGGGTAGAATCCTGGAGAACAGAAGCACTTAGCTACTGACAAAGAGGAAACTGTGAAGGGCACTTTGAAGTGACCAAAAGATAGGAGGAAACTCACAATGTACAGCAGTAAATGCTGAGACAGAAATGAGTTTCAAAGAAAAGCATGTAGTCTATCACAGCAAAAAGGTAATAATATGAGGATTAGAAAGTCTTGTTGATACTTAGCAGAGATTTCTGGGCCCACCCAAGAGAGAGAAGCCTCATTTCTCCCATGTACTGTCTTGCAACTAAAATAACCCTGGAAATAGCATAACAGATAAGCAAAGGGAAATACTTACAGGTGGGAAAATGTGGGCAATCTAGGAACCTCAGGATGTAAGGAATGCTATGATAGTGAATTTTCTGGGTATCCTTATTGTGTCCATGTATCCTGGATAGGACACTGCAGAAGCCCCCAGGCTAGAACCACCAATAGGTGCCCACACGTGTGAGCATGTACACACACAAACACACAAAGGGCTGACAAAAGCATGTTTCCCCTAGCCAGGAAAGGACAAATTAACAAGAGGAAATCTTTTTGGCAATATCTGTGCTACTCCAGATAAACACCAATGGCAAAACCCCTTCTATTCTTCCTCCGCCAAGAGGAAAATTGTCTTCCACCTCACCATACTCTTCCCTGAAGAAGTAAATGCTAATGATTTGATTTCCTCTTCTGGTACTGTTACCAGCAGGA